GGGTTTGTTCATGAGAAGGAGTTGGTCACCATGTGGTGCTATTGTTACACAGCAGGCCTGGGTCTCTGCAAAATGAACACTAACACTATGCTTGCAGAAAAGCATTGATAGAAATATGAAACATTTATGTTTTTATGTAAACCATCCAAAATAGTAAAGAAAATATAACAAACCAATGAGAATGTTATCAATAATAAATGGAATTACTCCTCTAATGTTAATGTTCTTGAATTCTTCAAGATTTAACTTGACAACATCTTTAAAAATTTATATAAATTTAAAACAAAAACACACCAGTTTTGCACACAATCTCTTTACGTTCCTTTCTCTCTTTTGTTCAGTTACATTCAAGTACATATACCCCTACACAGACAATTAAGTGCTAGAATGTATTGTTTCACTAAGTGTTTACAAGACAAATCCAGTAAAGCCTCATGAACTCTCAAGATGAATCAGTGGAAATTAGAATACATAAGTAATAAACTGGAAATGCAAGTAAGATAAATTAAGAATTATCTTTCATATAAGATGAACACATTATTTACTAGAAGTCAGATGATATTGTTCTTGATCATCTAGATATTTCCTTTCAGAAACTTATAGTCTAGTGTAATATGTACCTTACTGTCCCAAGTGAGTTCATAGTCTAGTCTAATATTAATGGAACAATTTTTGTATTACCAAAATAAGAGTTCAGATGCTGGACTAAAACTATTTGGTAGTAAATGGAATCTGGTGATGACAAGTTTTAACTCTTTGTTATGTGATTGTAAAGAGCAAATTTTTAGAGGCTTTCATAGTTTTGTTATGATATTTCAAAAAATAATTTTGTCTATATAATATCAAAAATGATAAATCCTTCACAATGTGTACTATAATTTTTGGTAAACAAAATAAAATTCTTTTATGTTCTTGGCCACTTTATTTTTAGCTTAAGAAAACATATCAGAAATAATACAAATAAACAAAGTATATTATGTTCAAGCTCATCTGAACATCCATCCTGACCATTTTTTCTGCTTTCAATACATCCAGCTTCTGATAATAATTCTTGTTTACTTATTCAAAATAAGAAATCCTTTTTATAGTGCTAGTTTTTATATTTAATAAATGCAGGTGTGTCTCATTAGACTACAGTGTCACACAGGAGAAAGCAACTATATAATTGTAGCATGATGCTTACATATGGAGAAAATACTTCACTTTCTTACATAAAATAAACATACCAGGGGAGTCAGGTGTCCCTTCATGGTTATTTCTTTGTCTCAGGGTTTATGATGGAGGCCCTATGATATCTATGAACAGTTTTAAATTAGACAGTTTTGAAAGAAGAGATATATAGGAGACAGCGGCAAGGGGAAAAGTAATGGTCTAGTGGAGAAGTAGGTGACTTTTTTTTTCCTTAGGTCCTCTGAAGTGGACATTATGGGTCTCTTTCAATAAGGAGACATATGTATGTCCACTTCCACGTGTTTCAGCTTAATTATAAATGCAATTCCCCAAAATACAAGTGCTGTATATTACATTATGTATAATTACCATATATTTTATCTATGTAAAAACATCTAGATGTAAATAAACTTATTTTCTATGTATAAGTAAAGCTTATTAATTGAAGATGCCCCCTCCCACTACCCTGTACATTTTCTTTTTCTATTCAGCATTTTTTAATTCAGTAAGATGTTGGAAATACAGATGTGAGATTCGATGCCCAATCAAAAGAAAAGTTGAAGATCCACATCAGCATCTTCCCCAAAACAGCCAGGAAAACATTTGAAATGTCTTCCTGTGGCTTTGTATGTGTGCATTCTAACAGTGAAAATACCCCCAGGACAGAAGACACTGAAAATTATTGAAAATGAGATCTGAACAAGAATAATTCATGGAGGATTGCTAGGGTTACCATGTATCGGGATTCATGAGCACCACACAGTGGGTGCCAGAATGTAGGGAATCCATGAGCCCGATGTTGGGCATCAGAATGTAGGGAGCCAGCCCTACATCACCTGTGGGTACCCCGAGTTCGGTGGCAACATAGGAATGAGAAAAATATTAAGAGATGGTGGGGCTGGGGGAGGGTAGACCATCACTAATTACTTTGGCGGAAACAGTGAAGGCCCCGAGCTCTGATCATCTACTCTATTTATTGGTTACAATCACTTTGATCTATAGGGTAGGGGTGGAGTGATGGTGGGGAGAGGTTGATGGTGGAGTGAATCAGTGAGCCGGAACTGAATCAGTGAGCCAGAACTGGTGTGTCATTCTAGAGATAGATAACAGCGGTGGATTGGGAGTTTCACAAATCAAGAACATGTGGTTATCTTTAATTTATTATCTATGTGCAGCTGGTGGAATGTGGCCTTACAAGGAGTCTACAAGTCTAGCTATGTCATAGTGCTACAAAGGGGTTTTACGTTCTTGAGCACAATGTTTATGGTGACAGAGCCGAGGTCACCCTGCACTGGAACATGAGGCATGAAGAGGCCTTTCTCCTCAGAAGCCTCCTGTGGCCTTCCGTAGTTCATTGTTCTTTGTATGTCACTCATAACCAATTTATGTAGGCAGTCTGTAAGTCCTTTCTCCTTGGCTGCTTTTCCCAACAACCATGTACAGATAAAAAAAATGAGTACTGCACATACACAAGGATGCTGTATTTCTTCAATAAACAACTTGCATACCTGCAGCAGTGCTGAAGGAACAATAACAGTTAAGTATTCTTTCTTTGCCTGACTTTATAGTTACAGTATTTCATACAGATTACCCATCCAGAGCTTTTCTGTTTACAACCTCTGTGCAAAATCCAAGCTGATATGCTACAATAATTTTTAGTGTTAACATGGAGGATCTACGGTCCTTGGTATATGTATATTTCAAATGCCTGGTGTCCATTTACAGTATCATTGATCTTGACCACACTTCTTAAGCTCTGTGTCTTATATTTAAATGTGGAAAGTAGTATTTAACTACATTAACAAAGTTTCTATAAGAATACAGATTTCATACAAATTACCAAAAAAAGCATAGTTTTCAATAAATGTTAATCATAATGGAATTCCACATTCAAAACTTAAATTATACATTAATGAACAAATATTAATTGAATATTATTATTATTCCCTCAAGAGACAGGAATGTATGGAAAGTATTTCTGACCTAAATTAAGAATTTTTCCATACATGCAATAAGACTTTCTTAAGATCCTCAACCAACTAAACAGTAGCTTATAACACAAACTGACAGTCTTAGGTTTTTCCCATTCAAAAAACCTAGTCTCTTTATTCTAATTAATCTAATGGAGATTCTAGTCTCCATTGCACAGATAATATGAATAGATACAAACTCATACTAAACATTTGTAGCTTTTATATTAAAATATATGACTATTATTTTTAATAATTTCAAAACCCAAATTCAGTTTTCAAACAGAGAAATGTAAAAAAGCTCAAAATTATAATATTAAAGTATGATTTCTTGCTATCTTACATATATGTTTATGTCTATATATGTAAAACCATTCAATGTAAAGCCATTGTTTTCCTAAAACCATGAAAGGATAAACTGTTTTTGAAAATTTACAGGTTGTGATAATTGTGCAACCTCTAGTTGTGTGATTATTATAGTAAAATAAATAAAAGCCTATTTTATGTTTCTATAACATTGAAGCTGGATTTTATGTTTCTATCTGGAATGCTAAACTCTCACTTGAAGGCACACAAAATGAAATAGCTGTTCAAGATAAAGCCTATGGTAAAAGCTTTTAAGATGTTATATCATTTTAGAGTAATATAATTTTTTCACTACTATCTGCTGTTCCAAAATAATGATGTATGTGTAATTTGAAATGCAACACTGTAAGATGTTTTATTTGAGTGCAAGTGGAAGATGAATGTTGGATACTGTTATGATGTATTTTTCATAACATAGAATGAGCTCTGTGTGTGTGTGTGTGTGTGTGTGTGTGTCTGTCTGTCTGTATAAATGTATATATATATTTCTTTGTATTTTATCTTGTGTTAGAATTGTGTTAGTAGACCTCAGTTCTTTATTTCCTTTCGGACAGGGCAATTTGTAAGATGTATAGATTATTTTCTATCCTTCTAATAGCTTTCTATAGTTTAAACAACACACTTAAATCTGAGAAATACAACAGCAACTATTGACTACCAAGAAAGATGAGTAAATTAGTATCCTTAATATGCCTTTATATTTTAATTTCTCTCTACCTTCATGGCCAGGCAGGGTACAGTCCATACACAGTACATAACCTGAGCAACAGACATTAATGAATTCTGTTCAGAATTTAGTTTCTGTGTCACTTTATTCTTATTGCAACAATTTATATTAATATATAATTTTAAAAATAAATTTTATTTTTAATACATTGTTTTGTTCTCAGAACTACAAAAACTGTTGTCCCTCAATACTACCTATATGTATATTCAATATTCAATGACTTTTAAAATAGTGTAACATCCTTATTTCTGAGCTTTTTTTAAATTAATCTCTTGGTGGTTTGATGCCAGCCACAAGTAGTAGCAGAAGGTTTTGTTTGTTAAATTTGAGGCTTTAAACATTTCATAACCTTTTAAAATATATATTCAGACATGAAGGATAATCGATCTAGGTATCATATTTTTGTGAGCTACATATTCCATCATAAGTCGTTTTCATTACCTTCTAATACTGAATGCTATAAACTCCAAAATATTTACCATTATTTTAATGTATTTTTATTTTTTTAAATATACTTACTTGCTTTTCCCGTTTTTGCTCTTTATTTTAGATATTAAATTTAGTATATTATATTTATTTTTGGATGGCATACATGACCTAAAACTCTTTTACTTTTCTGGGAAAAGATTTCCATAATGGAGCCTTCATCTTCTGTTGCATATTATTATTTTCTTTAGAGGGGGGAGGATCCTATAAATTTAGGCTATATTATGTAATATGTGGCTATATTTTTAAGGAGCTATATTTTATGAACTTTTGAAATACTTACATTGATGTCTTCTTTTTCTTTATAAGCACATAAGGTCCTTTATTTTTCTAGAGAAAGTATAGCAATACACCTATTAAAGTTGTTAGAATTCAAGAATATGTTGACAGACTAGATTTGCAGGATGTTTTATTTTTAAATTTTTGTAAATAATATACATTTATATATATGTAAAGACTTTATCTGTCCATCTAACTGTATATTTATAGCATAGTCAATGAAGACTTTTGTAGTGTTAAATTTACCAGCAGAAGTTTCAAAGAAGTGAGAGAGTAAGCTGTGCAGAGTTCGTGAGAAGCAATTTCTATTTTTTTAATAATTATTATTATACCTTAAGTTCTGGGGTGCATGAGCAGAACATTCAGGTTTGTTACATAGGTATACATGTGCCATGTTGTTTTGCTGCATCCATCACCCCATCATCTACATTAGGTATTTCTCCTAATGCTATTCCTCTCCATCCCCTAACCACTGCTGTTCCTCCATTAGCTCCCCATCTACCAACAGACCCCGGTGTGTGATGTTCCCCTTCCTGTGTCCATGTGTTCTTATTGTTCAACACCCATTTTCAAGTGAGAATGGGTGGTGTTTGGTTTTCTGTTCTTGTGTCAGTTTGCTGAGAATGATGGTTTCCAGCTTTATCCATGTCCCTGAGAAGGACATGAACTTATCTTTTTTTGTGGAAACAATATCTAAAAGATACAAAGGTCTAGAAGTTGAAACATATTTGATGTGTCTAAAGACATCTGGATTCCAATGTGGCTGAAACTGAGTGAAAAAGGGGAGATGAGATGAAAGATGAAGTCAAGGGGTGTCAGGGAGCTTGTTCATCCAGCTGTGGTTAAGTCATGCTAAGTACTTGGGTTTTATACTGACTGAGCTGAAAAATACTAAACTGTTTTAAACAGAGAAGTGATATATGATCTAACTTAAATTTAAAAAAAAAATTCAGTGCGTACTGAAGAAATAAGGTGAGGATAAATGATTATATTTTGTCTACAATTTTGATACACAACCAACAAAATAGGCTAATGAAACATTTGAAATGAGAATCAAAAAATGAGAGGGAAGTCAAAGGTGAGTTAATTTGTATAAACAAGTAAAAGAATGGAGCTGACATTTACTGAGATGGGGTAAACTGTGTGTGAGACCTGGTTTGTTAAGAGAGGATTAGAAATCTTTTTTGGAAGTCATTAATTCAGCTAATTGACTAGAATAAAGAAAGAAACTGAAGCTTGAGATTTAGGGTTGTAGGTAAAATAAAGCTACTTAAAATTATAAGGTTAAATGTATTTGCTTTTGTAAGTAGTAGACTGAGAAAACACTAATCTTCAAGACTGATTTTTAGAGTACTCAAATACTCAGAGCTCAGAAAAGTAAGACTCATCAAAGGAGGTAGCCTATAAAATAAGGCAAAAAGCAAATACAGTTAATACAGTGTCCTGAAAGCCAAGCTAAGAAAAGTATTTTAAGAATAAAGGACTGATCAATCATGCCAAATGCTCTATAGACTCAGAAAGAAGTCTAAGAGTTAGCATTTTATTTTGGATCAGGTAAGACTCTGTTTACCTTTACCATGATCTATTTCAATTCAGTGGTGGACCTGAAAGCCTAAACAGAGTAGGATAAATAAGAAGGAGGAATGTATTCTTACTGGGCCAGAATGGTGGAAAGAACATACTACTTGAATATCTCTAAACTTTCTGAGGCTAATTCAACCTCAAAACATGAAAATTTTAAATAAAATTTCGAGGTAAACATCTTCATAAAACAAGGAGACCAGTTGCGTGACTATTGAAAAAGTGCAGATTAGATTTTTGTAGTTGGAATCTGAGTGATAGCAAAGGAGATAAGCGGGTGGCTTCTTGATACATTGTTTAAGAGGAACCATCAGGCATACTTGCAAGATTAGATGTAGGTTTTGAGAGAAAAAGAGGATCTAAAACAACTATTTTTTTTTTTTTGAGACTGAGTTTTGCTCTTGTTGCCCGGGCTGGAGTGTAAGGACGTGATCTCAGCTCATAGCAACCTCTGCCTCCTGGGTTCAAGTGATTCTCCTCCCTCAACCTTCCAAGTATCTGGGATTATAGGCATATGCCACCATACCTGGCTAATTTTGTATTTTTAGTAGAGACAGGATTTCTTCTGTTGGTCAGGCTGGTCTCAAATTCATGACTTCAGGTGATTCGCCCACCTCAGCTTCCCAAATAGCTGGGATTACAGGTGTGAGCCACTGTGCCTGGCCAACTTTAAATTTTTTAAAATACACCATGATGGAGCTGTCTTATTTGAAATGGTAGTAAATTTTTTTTAAGTACAAGTCAAGTCGTGGCACAAAGCTGCTTAGAATCTTTCAGTGGTTTTCTCAATACAGAGTCAAATACAATGTCTATATTATAATACATCATAATAGATGGTATATGCCATAATAAAGACATTGTATTTGACTCTGTATTTGATTCTGACCTAACTGGACTCATCTCCAGCATCTCCAGTAATATTAGTAGCCTAAAATTTTTATTCTGCAATTAGTTGTATATAACCTTATGCTACTTCTTATAATGTTAATACATTGACTTTTTTGTCTGCATGCCTTTCATTGTATAGATGGATTGTAACATGCCAAAAATTAAAGATTTTACCCTTCCCAAAACTTAGAAATAGTCTAAACATATACATAGAAACTGTTCATATGAACTTTTTAAATAAATCAAAAATATATATAAAAAACTGTTGCTTCCTATAGATTTGGCATAGTATAATATGGAAACGATTGTCTTGATTTTCTGAGTGTTGTGGAAATGTCATAATGTCTATCTGAGTATCTAATATAATCACTAGAAACTAGGTTCTAGTGGGTTAGAAGTATATTGTTCAATAGATCATTTTTTTCAGACCATACGGTAAGTTTTACATTTTAGTTCTGACATACAAGGTAGATGGTAAACTAACATAATAATAATAATTTTTTTTAATAATAATAATTTATGTTTCCAGTGTCATATGTCACATGCTTATAGCATAAGCAGCAGTGTTATTTTTGTCAATACAAAATGGTGTGAACCAAAAAGAGATTTCAGAAATATTTCCATGGGGAACCTAAGCTATTCACTCTTTTTTAGGACAAGAAGCTAATTATGGAAGATTGCTATTAAAAAAATTTCTTAATAAACATTTATTGCAAATCACTTAGAGATTTGTATTTCTGTAAAAGAGCTGCAAACAAAGGGAAGGTAAATGAGATGGCTTCTGCTGGGATAACAAAGGATCAAGAATCTTACATAGAAGAGTCAGAGGTTTTAAATATCAAATCTTGAAGGATTCTGCTAAGAGTGTAAAAAGCAGGTGTTTTTTCTAAAGCTAGACTACTAGATAATGAAAAGTTCCAATATAAAAATTCATGAAAGGAAAACTCATAAATGTGTCACAAAAAGATAATTATTATCTCAGATATAAGCCAGATGCTCTCCTGTGGATTGCATATTAATATTCACAGATAGAAGGTTCTGTTTAGACAGAAGGGTTCCATTTGATGGGTTATATATTCAGTAAGTAGAGAAACTGGCTTAGGGGTGATAATAACTGCAGAAAACAGAATCATGAGTTCAGACTTTTGGATATTGTTAGTCCTATTTGGTTTTAGAATTTGCTTTTCATTTTCAGGCATTAATGGGTGAATCACAGTTTTGTGACTTTTGTAAATTATATATTTGTGGAAGTCATTTTCCCCTGTAAGGTTCCTGTTATTTACATGAATTATATTAATAACATATATGTATGTTCTATACAGTTTTTCAGTGTCACTTGAATAAAGGATACTATGTGATTTGAATCTTGTAATTAAAGGCAAATAAACAATTATTTGGAATTAGGTAAAATCTTGAGGAAACTAAATTCTACCTAGTTAAATAGCATTCTGTGTTTCTTAATATGAGGCCTGAGGTAGTATTAAGTAACAGTTGCTCCAGATCATGGTGTCTGATCCATGATCCTAGGCAAATTAACCTGTCAAAAATGAAGAAGCTCCCAATACTGACCAACCAGATGAACATGACTCAATCAACATCAAAATCAATGAGGTGAAAACAGTCTGCCTTCAGTGAAAATCAATGGTGGTGAAAATGGACTTCCTTGAACTTGACTTTTACAGATTTGGAGGCTGCCTTGAATAACAAAGGGTGTTTCGGTGATAATAGATTCCTGCTTCTTTCTAGTCACTTTATAATCCTTTATAATTTAACAGTAATTCCATGTCACAGTTTTTGGGATCTCCTACTCTAAATTCCAAATAAAGCCAGAAATTTTAAGTATGAGCAACAAGAGCATCACCCAAGAGCTCTGGGGAATGACATCTAAATGAGCAGAATGAGCACATCATTAATGAGTCCTTACATAAATAGTTCATCAGTCATTTAAGGAAACGCCACAATCATGTCTACAGCAACATATAGTTTTGTAAGGTAGCTCAAAACAGATTGTTAGGTAAGTAGCCTGTGCCGTACTGTTCTGGTAGCCTAGCTTTTCCCCAAAACAAAACAACTTTGTCCTGTTTAATAACAGTCCTGAATTTCTATCTAGATTCTTGGGAAAGGCTTATGATGAAAAAGGGGCTCAGTGTCCATTACTTGGTCTTGCAGCCTGGTCTATCACAATATCTGTGACTTAGTCAACTTCCTCTTCTTCCTCGCTAAAGTCAAACAATGCAACAGTGTAGTCCCTAAATTCCTAATACTAAAACCATGTTATCTGCATACCATGAGATGTATGGTTCTTTCCAAAGGTATAAGTGGCATACGTTCAGATGAGATGTCTAAATTTCCTAAAATATCATCTTGAGTAATATTTGGGTCAAAACATAGCAGACCCTCAAATACTATAACTCTTCATTGAAGTTTTTTGGAAATTGTGGCTTGTAATCTATATTTCTCTGAAGGGTCAGAATACTTTTATAGTAAAGAGATAGACAGGAATTATTTTAGGTTTTGTGGTATATGGCCTGTGTCAAAAGGCTCAATTGTGCTGCAGAAGCATGAAGGCAGCCGCAGACAACACATAAAAGAATGAGCATGGCTGTGTTTTAATAAAAATTTATAGTTTTCTTGTGTCTAAAAGATATTTTTTTCTTATTTGACTTTCAACCGTGTGAAATTATAAAATCCATTAGCTTGTAGGAAGTACAAAAAGAGGTGGTGTCCAGAATTGGCTGCAGACACCAATTAGTATTCTACTAACACCAGCTCTAAGGCATATGTATGAAATATTGCTATATATTTACAGGTATACACATTGTTGGTCTTGGTTAGAAATGAATGAAACATTCAAGTCTCTTAAAGATATTCTTTTTCTCTCATATTTTCCTATTAAAATGTATAGCAGTCCATGACTTATTATTCCATAACTAACTAGCATTGCTAATTTAGATTTTTTTAATTGGAAATATTAGTTAAATTTTATCATATGTTAATCACAATACATGTTAAATATCTGGGATAAAGCAAAATAATCCAGGGATAAAACTCATGGAGATAATCATTAATGGTATTTTTGGATACTTCTCAAGGGAGTGACTTTTGAGAAATGATAACTTCCTCAGCTAGATAGGATGGGTTAGGGCCCAAAGCAGTCCAAGGAAAAGAATTTGGTAAGAACACTGTATCATTAAGCAGAGCAGAATTAGAGGTTAATGGTAGAGAATACCCAGAGGACAGAAACAATAAGTTGGAACTAAACTCTTGCTTTTAGCTGCATGTAAAAGGAAATTGAACTCATGCTGGTGTGAATGACTAAAATGATGTATTTCCCAAGCTAACTGAAAAAAATGTCCAAATCAGGTATAGTCAAATCAGTTCTCTGTGTCCTTTTTTAGACATTGCTATGCTATGATAATAGCTATGCACCTGAAACAGTGTGCAAAAGCTTTTCAAATTACTTTGTCTAAAGAGGAAATTTTTTTCCTGTAAATATTTTCAAACCCAAAAATGATTAGAAGTCTATTTCTCTACCAATTCAATAAACGTGGGGCACTATACAGTGATTGGCTTGGGCATGGACTTTCTGAGCAAACCACTGGCAAAGATATCACTGCCACTTGGATTTGGAAGTGAGATCAGCATGCTCTTAAGAACAGGGACTGTGCAGTGACTGGATCATTTACCTAAAGCCAGACTGGAGTATGAATATTGAGGGGTCAGCAAGTGGCAGCCATGACAAAATTTTGAGCTTTTTCCTATAAAGTGAGGAGCAGAGTGCTATGACAAAATATTATGCAAGGAATGATTATATATATATATATATATTTGCATTTTCCCTTTTTTCTTTGCTAGTAGCACAAAGTCATACTTAAAATGACCAAGGCCAGAAATGGTGGATCAGGCTTATAACCCCAGCACTTTGGGAGCTGAGGTAGGAGGATTACTTAAGGCCAGGAGCTTGAGACAAGCCTGAGCAACATAGAGAGACCTCATCTCTCCAAAACAAAACAAAAAGAACAACAACAAAAAATTAGCCATGCACAGTGGTGTACACCTGTTGTTCCAGCTATTAGAGATGGTGAAGTTGGGGGAAGGCTTGAGCCAGGGAGTTCAAGGCTACTATGAACCATGATTGTGTCACTGTATTCCAGCCTAAGCTACAAAGTGAGACCCTGTCTCAAAAAATAAAAATAAAAAATATAAAAAGATTAGATTTCAATTTCTTATTTTTTTTAGTTTTAAACAAGTTTATTAAAAGATAATTCACTTATCATACAATTCACACATTTAAGGTGGACAGTGGTTTTTAGCCTCTTCACAGATATATTCAACAATTATCACAGTTATTGTTTCATCATCACAGAATATTTTCATCATCTCAGAAAGAAACTTCCTTTACTTCTGACACTTAAGCTATTTCCCATTTTTCTTCTCTTCCCTCCTGTCTTAAGCAAATACTAATCTAATTTCTACCTTTATTGGTTTATCAACTCGCAGTATTTCATATGAAAGGATTTATATACTATGTAGCCTTTTGTGATTGACTTTTCTGACTTAGGTTAACCTTTTCAAGGTTCCTATAAATTATAGGATATGTCAGTACTTCATTGTTTTTTTTTTTTTTTTTTTTTTTTTTTTTTGAAATGGGGTTTCACTCTGTCACCCAGGCTGGGGTGCAGTGTTGCAATCTTGGCTTACTGCAACCTCCACCTCCCAGGGTTCAGGCATTTCTCATGGTTCAGCCGCAGGAGTAGCTGGAATTGCAGGCATGTGCCACCACGCCTGTTAATTTTTGTATTTTTAGTAGAGACAGGATTTTGCCATGTTGGCCAGGGTGGTCTGGGACTCCTGGCCTCAAGTGATCCGCCCACCTTCGCCTCCCAAAATGCTGAGATTACAGGCGTGAGCCACCGCACCCAGTTACTTCATATCTTTTAATGGCCAAAAATATTTCATTGTATGAATACTCATTGTATAGATTTTGTTTACCCATTGGTCTGTTTATGGACATTTAGGCTATTTCCACATTTTGGAAATTGTGAATAGTGCTTCTAGAAACATTTCCATATAAGTTTTTGTTAGACTTAAAGAACTGTATTCAATGCTCTTAGGTATATACGCAGTAGTGAAAATGCTGGTTCATTGGGTTTAATTGTTTGAGAAACTGCCTGACAAGTTTCAAAGTGGCTGTACCATTTTACATTCTCTCTAGCAGCATACAACAGTGTTGCTTTCTTCACATGCTCTCCAATATGTGTTAATGTCTGAATTTGATTCTAGCCATCCTTGTGAGTATAAAGTGATATCTCATTGTGGATTTAATTTTTATTTACCTGATGACTAATAATGTGGAACATTACTAGCAATTTATATATCTTCCTTGGAGAAATGTTTATTTTCCCCATTTTATAATTTGGTTATTTTACTTTTCAATGTTCCAAGAACTGTAAGAGTTCTTTGTATAGTGTAATTAGATGTACAATTTACAAATATTAGATGTATAATCTGCAAATATTTTCCCAAATTTTGTGGGTCATCTCATTTTCTTCATGGTATATTCTGAAGCACACGTATTTTTAATTTTTGATGAAGTTCAAATTCTTATTTTACTGTTCATGCTTTTTGTGTCACATTTTATATTTGAGTTTTGCAAAAATACATTTTATACCCACATTTATTATGTTTTATCTTTATCCATCGTTTTTGTTATTGAGCTATAGCCAATAGTGCATTACTAAACTCAGGGTGTATAATAGGAATTAGAAACATTTTTAAGAGATTACATTTATGCATATGAGTTTAAACATTAATATATCTGTCATTGGGCTTACTCTTCAAAACACTGAAAAAGAAGGTAAGCAGACATTAGTATCTCAATAGAGGACATTACAGGCAAAAGACTTATTAGGAGCTAATCAAGCCACTCATCTGCAAAGAATAAATAGACACCACACCTAGTTTAAAATAATCAAATGTATAACAAGTACTAATTCACATACCTGGTTTTCCTGTCACTCTTGCTTACATAATTGGCTTTGTACTTTTACATTTCTCTATGGGAAAAGTAATAGAAAACTTTTGGTGAGTTACATAATTGGATGGCATCACTGAGAAACATATCATATTGCTCTGTAAGTAGTAGAGACTTTACAAATATTAGTCTAACAACGATTTTTCAAAAGTGCTACATGGATCTAGGCAGATGAAGCTGAAACCTGACCAATTGAATACATCAATTCATCCATATCATGGGCCAACTGCTGCAGAAATGAAGTAAAAAATTAACATAGTTTTTGATGGAAACAAGGATTATAATTTTAACACTGTGCATTTTTCAAATTATGAATTAAATCAAAGCATCAATAAATAGTCATTATAAATCAGTCACTTAAATTATAAAAACACAGACAAAAGCTGTTTAATGTTTACGTATCTACCAAAACTCTTATTTAAAATTCTATAATGATGAAATGTTGGAAGGCAAAGGAATTTCTTATGATCACCCTGCAGATACAACATGGCCCCCAACCCAAATTTGGTTCTAATGTCAAGACAGCTAATACCACCCACATAGCAAGAGAGTATAATGTTAGTTACTTTAGCAAGAGAGTATGGAAATGTTACTTACTTCCATGGCCAGAGCAGGAGGAAGAGAGAAATAGGAGGGAGGTGCCACACACTTTTGAAGAACCAGATCTTATGAAATCTTACTATCAGGAGAACAGCACGAAGGGAATGATGCTAAACCATTCACGAGAAACTGCCCCTGTGATCCAGTCACCTCCCACAAGGCCCCCACCTCCAACACTAAGCATGACAATTGAACATGAGATTTGGGCAGGTCACATATCCAAACCATATCACTATCTTTGATTCTTTCTTTATGTCTTCTGTTTAAATACCAAGTTATTTTGGTTAAGTTTAGCAATAATTATCTGCTATTTTCCCATTTTGTTACTCAATGGATACACAGAAATATTAGGGACAAAGTGCTATTTTGAAAAAATCATAACATTTGCCAAGATTGCATACACATTCACATTCACATCTACATTCACCACCCCTCCCACTCACATGTTTAAATTCCATGGGATTTATCAATATGATAAATCAGTATCAGTGGGTTTAAAAAATCTTCTAATGTATAAATAATCAAATAAATTTATTTAATTTTCAACAAGATTTGTAGAATTCAGAATAACTTCGGTTGGGTGCATAGCACAGAACTTATATATGTGTAAATGTGTATATAAGCAAATGTATATGTTATATATCTATTCACAAATAAATATGCATATGCATATATGAAAATCCATCTGTCTGCTCTCTAGTGATTTATAGAGAAAGGATCCCCTAGTATTCTTTACTGTTAAATGTAATTATTTTTGTGAAATCATTGATTTTTTGATTGATTAGTAACATGTACAATAAGATATTTTTCACAGGTCTTATAGAGAGTGGCCCAAAGATTATATTTTAAAAAGAGATTCTACTTTATCTTTGTCTCTACAACATTAGGTTTACTAGAGTTTCATCATGTTACCATTCATTTAGGTTCATAGATATAGCAAATAACATGTATCCTTAAAGTTAAATACAGAGATAAATGTAAATCTGTGCAAACAAATGTTCTGTGAGGTAAATGTTTCTCTGTTTAAACCTGAAGGTGAATGATTTTCCAAATCACTCATATAACTCACTCATTCTGCCTTGAAAGCCTGTTTGAATGACACTTGTTTTTCACACACAGTTTTACATTTGCTGGCTAAGTGTAAATATGCAATCTCTTAACAGATTGGATATATTTTTCATCCAAAATACTTCTTTAGTAGGAAATTCTATTCAGAGTAAAGGGAAATCTCACCATATTGTGGGAACACGTTTCTAAATACCGTGTCAGACAAATATTTTCAAAACACATCATGCTGTTAGTTTAAAATTGGGCCTGGCCTACAAAACTGTAGGAAACTATAGCTCTTCTCATTCAACTCAGCACAGTCTGCCCAAAATTTCAGCTTCAGTTAGGCCAATCACCTGGCAGTTCCAGCCAAAGCCTTCCCACCTTTCATCTCTGACACAGAACATGTCTCTGTGCTCCAATAGAACTTTTTAGGTTCTCCCAAGGTCACACTGAAATTCTTATAAACAATTAGATGGGCACACCAATAAGAGTGATGGGTAATTGCAGTCATTTTCTCAAGGTGGTGCTACCAAGTTACTAAAGGAATTAGAGAACAAAATTATCAGTGACTTCTCTGACCTGAAAAGTAAGTTGATAATTGATTTATTTATTTTCAAATGACAAAGAAGTAAGTCCTTCTGTTGAGGGGGATAAGTGATAAATATTTATATACTCCTACTACCATCTTATAGATATACAGAAGTGTTATATGTGTTTTTCTACTGACATATTGAAATAAAGCTGGGACATTAAATTCAAATTGCTGAATGGAATGACCAAGGAATTGGTATGGCAAACTTGGATGGAATGTTGGTAAAAGAAACAAGTATCCTATCACATAGGCAGACAGATATCAGTAAGATGAATGTCAAGGACCTTGACACTTCCAATACCTTTTTCAATCCCCTTTGGGTGATGCCACAGTGGAAGACCCTCCTACTGCAGCATTTTCTCTTGGTTGTGTAGATTCCAGCAGTAACTTCAGCATGTTGTGAAGCATCCTCAACAGTAGAACCTGATCTTGCTGAATGGCTCCATATCTGAATGGCAGATATGCAATGAAAGCTTGCTGAATGAATTTACCCATATTTGGCAAGACCAGCAATCCCAGGGTATATCTTTTTTTAAAAATATATAAGTTGACAATTTTATCAAGCTATATTTCAGGCTAGTAATATTTTATATTTTTTATAAGTAATTAATATCAAGATAAAAATGAATCTGAAGTAGGAAAGACCGCAAACAAACCTTGAAGGCTGAACTGGGAAGGAAGTGGTGATTTATTCAACTGGGAGCTGAGCGGGCCTAAATACCCCAATAGCCAAGCTCCCCGAAGAGAAAATTGTGTCCCCTTTTAAAGGCACACAGTCTTAGAAGTTACATGTGAAAAGGTGTTGATCTCTGAAGTAGGCATGGGGTATGTGACTTAGGTGGGGATCTGATCCTGTTTAAGCAAAAACAGTGCCTTTTAGAAACATTCCTCCATACCATGCCTGTGATCTATAGGAGTGCAATTAAGGGTGGTACCCGTCTGCCAGCTTTTTACCTCTCCTATTGAAATGCAATGAAGAAGGCTAGGGGGAGGTGGTCTTAGATGCTTAAAAGGATTAAGGGTCTCCTTCTGCAAATCAATTAAATGCTAAATAATATTTTTCTATCCCCTAAAGTATGGTTGGTTACATTTTATTTTATAAAGTTTTAGTGTTCAGTCTAATTTATTACAGTATGAATACAAAAAATTGTCAGTTTTGTATGCTGCATTAACATGGATGTTTTCTTACATCTGTCTGCACTAAGAAGGCTGTAAGTGGTGTATAAAATAACAAACAGTAATATTCTAAACATTAAACCTGTCTGAATAAATTGAAACATAATCATGCTAAATATTAGAACAATTCACATACACTGAATATAGTAAACATATATGAAAAACAATGGTCTGGTAAGATGATGATACATATAATTAGGATGAAATAACAACTCCTTATGTGATTACTATTCAATTCTTTTGGAAAATTATAGATCTCCAAAGGTATTTTTAGTTCATTTCAGTTGAAAGATATCTTCACACCCACACAAAATTTTTCATGTATCTAAATGTTTCTTGAAATTATATGGTGCAATGAAATTATAATGGTAAAATCTTAAATTCATGTTTTAATAGAAATAACAGCAAAATATAAAACATATTTGAGAAAAAATGCTAATTGTATATAAAGTTATGAGTCACATCTCAAGAAAGTCTATAGACTTAAAATATTTATATGTGTCAAATGTATTCAAATCAGATTAAACTCATTGAAAAATTAATATTCACTAAACTACCATATTTTTTCCAACAGAACAAGTTAATATTCTTGATTAGAATAATTATCTGATAACATAGCATAGAATAGTCAGGGTATTGTATAAAAATTTGCATCTCAAAGAATAATATAATATGGAATTACATAATTTTGCATGATATTTATCTTTTGTTATAGGTTTATCAACTTATGAACAAGGGAAAGCTGCTCAAAGAAAGATTTCTTAAGATAACATGTATGGAAAATATAATTTGTTCATAACATAAAACACCTGCTTTGCACCATGATTCTCTTCTTTTAAAAATGAAACTATCCTACATTTGCTTTAAATTATTCTGAGGGAAAATGCTCTTTTCATGAAAGCCAGCTGTAATTAATAAATGAAAATATGTGTCATATCACAATTTACTGAAAGGACAAAGCCAAAAACAAAACCTTTTGCTGTACTAATTAGTTGTGAATCAAAGTTTTATCAGAGACTATTCTCAGTTGTTATATGAAAAACTGGGCACAAGGAATAGTTTAACAACATGCCAATTATATATATTACTTATATATATATATATATGTAAATATACAACAAACTACAATCTACTGAAAAATTATCATTTTTAATAACTGAAAATACTTTAAGAGATTATATATGTGCAGATTATAGTCTGGTTGCAAATCAGTCCCAGTGGCCTTGAGTGGTGACATCATTAAGAATACATGTTCATATTGGATGGTAAGCACAACTTGCTTGGATACAGTAAGTCATTTCAGCAAAAATTCAATTTCAGGCAATCTAAGGTAGGTTCTGTAAGTGGGGCATCATGGGAAAATACAATATTAAAGTTGCTGTGTTACAAAGTAACACTACATATGTAGTGGCCTTTTGCAAGGATGCTATGTGAATGCAGGGATGGGGAAAGGAAAACTTGACATTTCTGGGAAGAGTCAAAAAAAGTTTTATAGAGGAAGTAATCTTTTTACTGGGCCTTGAACTATAACTAGAGATTTTTATTTTTCTAGGGTGAAGTGGGAAAGATATTTCTGGTAGAAAGGACATATGTAAAGGCAAGAAAGCTGAAGTTGATGTATGTTCAGAAAGTGACAAGAGATTATGCATGGCTCTGGTAGGAAAAAATAGGAATTGATATTGTTATATGATAGGTAAGGGTTAATATTGAGGGATTTTGTGGAATATAATTGGGAGAATGATGCCATCATTTTTGTAGTCTGGGAAAAATATCAGTCTGACCACAGTGTTAAAATAGAATGGAGACACTAGACAGAGTGAAACGAATCAGGAGGTTTGCCATAGTTTAAGCAATAAATGATAAGGACGGTAACCTTGTCTGTCTTTTTCATCATTATATTCCCAGTAACAAGAGTAGAGCTTGGAACAGAGAGTTGAACTAATGAGCAGACAGGAGGAGGGATCCAAGATATATTTAGTAAAATAGAGCTGACAGGACTTGAAGTTCCAAAGGATTGGTTCAGAACACTGCAAACTACATTTCATGTTAAGCAATATTAAATTAAGTGCAACTGAGATTTGGCCCAAAGTCCAGTTGTTGTTTTGGTAAAATTGCAGTGGCCCAAACACCTAAATTGTTCAAACTGACTCATTTTCCACAAATGTTTATAATGTATTTCTGAGTATATCCCAAAAGGGTACTTCATAAACTCTTGTGTATCACTGGGTTCATCTGGAATTAATTCTAAGTACCAGTGTGCTTAAGCCGGCTTTTCCTTATTCACATGCACATTTGTGTTCACCTCTTATGAACTCTATATCAAACTATTTCATGTTGGTAATTTTAAATTCCCCATGGGTCCATTTACACAATGAAAATTGGCAAATGCTACAAACTAGCGTTTTTTTCCCCCAAAATTCAGTTTTTAGACATTTGTCAGCATATCATTGACTACAGGAAATCTGTACTTTTCCTTTTCCTGACCTTCCTTTGGTATTAGTTAGCAATTTCCACAAACTGTGAAGCCTCAGCAACCATACATTCAAAGCTCTTATCACCCAGTATTCCGAAGCCACCAACTTCAGAGTATCACAGCAGTGCAGGAATCTGACTCAAGAAAATACACTTTCCTTTGATGTTTAATTTTTAATTTTTATGGGGGCAAATCATTGTACATATTTATAGGGCAATGGGATATTTTGAGACAAGCATACAATTTGTGATCAAATCTGGGTAATTGGGATATTCATTATCTCAAACATTTATCATTATTTTGTGTTAGAAATATTTAATATTTTCATTTTTAGTTATTTTAAAATGTACAATAAATAATTTTGCTTTATTGTGTTACTGAACACTAGATCTTTTAATTTCTAACAGTATTTTTGTACCCATTGATCAACCCACTCTGGGATGCTACCTTCCTAGCATCTGGTAACCACCATTATATTCCCTGTTTCCATGATATGGAACCATTTTTTTGGTTCCCCTATCTGAGTTAGAACATATGATGTTTGTATTTCTGTGTTTGTCTTACTTCACTTAGCATAATGCCTTCCAGTACAACCCATGTTGTTGCAAATGGCAGGATTTCATTCTTTTTTATAGAGAAATAATATTCCGTTGTGTATACATTTCACATTTTTCTTTGTCTAGTCATCTGTTGATAAAAACTTAAGTTGGGTCCATATCTTTGCATTGTGAATGGTGCTACAATAAACACTAGAGTTCAGATATGTCTTTAATATAGATACTTCCTTTCTTTTAAATTTATACCCAACAGCAGGCTTGCTAGTTTATATGATGCTTCCATATTTAGCTTTTTGATGAATCTCCATACTGTTTTCCATAATGGCTATACCAATTTATAATTTCCCCAACAGTGTATGAGTTTCTTTTCTTCACATCCTTGTTAGCATCTGTTGTTTTTGTCTTTTTGATTAACTGGGTATGCATATGCCATATGCATTTAGCCATTCTAACTAGGGTAAGGTGATTGTGTTTTTGATTTGCATATCCCTGATGATTAGCGAGTTTTTTTTTCTCCATACCTCTTGGCGTTTTGTATATCTTCTTTTGAGAAATATATTTGTCCAATATTTATCACATTATTTGGGTTTTTTTTGGCTGCTGAGTTGTTTAAGTTACTTATATATTTTGGTTATTAATCCTTGTCAGATGATTAGCTTGTAGATATTTTCTCCCATTATATAGATTGTCTCTTCATTGTGTTGATTGTTTCATTTGCCATGTAGAAGCCTTTTAGGTTGATGTGATTCTTTCGTCAATTTTTGTTTGGTTGCCTGTTCCTTTGAGGTTTTACTCAAGAAATCTTTTCCAGACCAATGTCTTGAAGTGTTTCCCCAATGTTTTCTTTCAGTAGTATTATAATCTTGGGGCATAAATTTAAATTTTTAAATCATTTTGAGTTTACTTTTGTATATGTTGAGAGATAGAGGACGAGTTTCATTCTTCTGTATACGCATATCCAGTTTCCCCAGTGTCATTTATTGAAGAGACTCTTGCCGATGTATATTCTTAGTGCCTTTGTCAAAAATGGGTTAGCAATTAATATGTGAATTTATTTGTAGGATATCTATTCTGTTCATTGGTCCATGTGTTTGTTTTTATGCCAGCATTATGGTGTTTTTGTTATTATAGCTTTGCAGTATAATTTGAAGTCAGATAATGTGATATTCTCTTTGCTCAGAGTTGCCTTGGTTATTCTGGATCTTTTGTAAAGTCATATATATTTTAAGATTGCAT